GCGGCGCGGCTCTCACCTGCCCGCCGAGGCCAGTCGGCACAACATGGCGGCTACCTCGCAGCCCGGCGCTACGGCGACAGCGCAACCCTGTCTTCGCCCGCCCTCGGCACCGCCCGCCCCGGCACCGCCCGCTCAGGGGGCTGAGCTTTTCCCAGCTGTGGTTGACGCAGTGCTGCAGCCAGCCAGTTTCCTTAAATTGAAAAAAATAGTTTTTTTTTATCTGTGTAACACAGTATTATAAACCGAACCACTAGATAAAGCTGTTATCTTAAAATTCGGGCCCTCAGGAGTACAAGCCGAGGCGAGACAGCCGCTGAGGACTGGCCCAAGGAGCTCTCAGCAGGCAGAAAGGCGGCCGGACCTCCCGCCTGCGGTATGGCTGCCGGGCACAAAGGATACAGCAGGCACAGCAGCCAGAGCAAGCTCTGAAAAACCTGCCCGGCAAAGACGTGTTTCTATCAGTTTACTGACAGGACCGGCAGAGCTTACAAATACCTTTTTAGCTATTTTGTCTATGACTTAAATTTTTTGGTTCCTTTCTGTTCTTTTCCTAATCTTGTTCACATCTTGTTCCCAGTCTCTCTTCCTCTTGGTAGCAATTCAATGGCCTTTTGTGCTGATGAGAATCCTTCATTTGGGTTCCTTAACCTCATCAGCTAAAATAATCGGTATAGTTAGTGCAAAGTACTTTAAAGGCCCATTAAAAACTAGTTCTCCAGAAAGATCAGTGAGGAGAACTCTTCCCTCAGTTAGGAGGCACTCTGCAGATAAGACAAACATTTGGTAAAAATTGAACTGCATGGAAACCATCTCTGCTATCAAAAAACCCTCAAACTTTTAGTTTTGGTCTTTTAAAATAAACACATCTATTGATCTTACAGAACGCACATTTCTCAGACTCTGAAAACACAAGTTACAACAATTCAGTGGGGGCTAGGTCTGAACAACCTTGAAAATAAATTACCTTATATTTGAAATTGCTAGGAAATCCACCTGGAGAGATCCACGCAGGGAGGCACAGTACAGTAGTGTGTGTCTCTCCTCCCTCCTCTTGAAGGACCCTAGAAAACCACATTATTTTCACCTGTCAGCCAGCGGTATTCTCTGGAAATGTGAACAGTGGAAATAACTGCTTTATCAATAGCTACAATAAAAGGAGAATTGCCCAGAATCAACAGAAGGTTTAGAAACAAGATTTCCCCCTGAATACTGAAATTGTATACAGCAGGATTTAGGCAGTATCTAATTTTAGAGAATAGTATGTTGTATTTATTGGTGATCAGTAAAACGTCACGTTTTGTTAAAATGAACCAACCACATTCAGGATTATTAAATGCCATAACATAGGCATTGACAGCTAGGCAACAACATGACTATTACTGGTTTTAGCATTTCTTTATGTATTATTATACTGCAATTCACCAATGCTTTGCAGTAAGTGTTCCAAGAAAGCAAGTTAATTATATGACACATTTTGTTATGAACTGGTGCAGTTACTCAGTTGCCTTCATTTTGAAAATGAACATTAAAACAAACAAAACCTCCCAGCCTGCTTATTTAGAACATACCCTCAAAAGCAGAAAAAGACCTTGCCTTACAATTATGTTCCTTCAACATGCTACGCTAACTTCTCGTTCGAGGGTACAATCTGTATTTCTATTTTTTTAGCTCTTTAGTTAAGCTTTAATTATTTATTATTTAAAAATTAAGTACCACACACTCATGAGAAAACTAAAATCATCTTTATATGAGGTTAAGACATAAAATTTTTAAAGTCCTATAGTAACTGACAGATTTAAGTAGCTAGCTGTCACCCTCTGAAAGCTATGCATTTTTTAACCTTAGCACAATCAACAGCAATTACAGTAACTCCAAAAATAGTTTGCATACTTCAGAGTCTTTATAGAAGGTGAAATGGTGTCTACCATTTTCATGGCATGAGTTACTTTCATATTTGAAACATGATCAGATTTCCCCAAGGGGCTTTTTACCACCTATATTATTGGATAAATCCATAGTTACAATCTATTATCAGCATTTTGAGCTTCTTACAAATACTGTATTCTACCATGTGCAGAATCCAGGATGTACATATACACATGGTATGGATAATCAAGCAATACGATACTAAAACCAAATATAATATCACTATCAGGGATTTTTGTAAACTAGAAATTACTTTGGGTGCCAGGTGCTGGTACTTTTTTCTATAGATACTTGTCACTGCCCTTTCATGCATCCAACTACTGACTGCTGTTTTTCAGGCAATGAGGGCTAAAGTAATGTTCAAAAAAACAACCAGGGATCATCAATAGAATTTACTACTAAGTGGTTTAAATACATTTAAGCAAACCCTAAGAAATTAAAGTACCAGTGGTACCTGGGCTAGCATGTCTCTACCACAGATGACAGCAGCTAGTAGTATTTTAATTACATCCATTTGTCTTGGACAATACTACTGCAGATGCTAATTCTTGTATAACACACCACTTTAAAATGGTACCACAGAAGCCCTTCTATAATCTAGGAATTTATAACTGTAAATTTGAAACAAATTCAAGTATGTCCTAGAACTCTGGAGAAATACCCCTTTCAAACAAGAGTCTGTTTCAAAAGTGAATTGCAAAGCTATAAGCTATTTACTATTGTTTTAGTAGCTACATATGAGAATTTTATTAGTCATCTGATAATTACAAGATTCACAGGTAGGAAAGTGTTGAAACTACCCAAAAGTATACTGACTAGTACTTTTATTTTTACCTATGAAGAGTGCTTAAATGCCAGTGCTTTTTGATCTCCTTGGCTGTGTGCTACCATCACTAAATTGACAGAAAATAACCACCAGAAATTCAGGTTCTGAGAAATTCCTAACTCATTGCTACTGGACAATAAAGCATGCTTCAAGGTAATTTTTTTCATTCTCTGCACCTGTTAAGAAGTCAGTTCCCTCAGGCAGGCATTTAAAAACAACAGGAGTTATATCTGGTTTAAGAGGCTGAATTACTAACTGCTTAAAATTTCATAGTTTAATTTGTATATTTACCTGTTGGATATTTGTAGCTTTTTGTTGGTGGTTTTTTGTTGTTGTAGTTTTAATCTTTAGAAAAGCCAGGATGCAACTCTTAAGATTTACTTTTATTAACTCTTTTTTTTCCTTTATCTGCCAATAAGGACAAAACCTGTAGAATAAACACTGTATCAGGCTGGCCTGAAATTAGTACAATAGTACACATCTGTAACTTCAGGCATTTGGCCTAAGCTGTAGCAGATAGGATTGACACAGGAACAAATTCAATAAAAAAACCCCAAGTGTGGTAAATATACTGCATACAAATAAGCCATGTAAGCCAATGCAGAACAATGAGGAGATTACATTATTAAAAGTTTTTATTTAGGTTTGGTCAGTACAGGTAAGATAATATTGGAGTCACAGAGCAATATGCATAAACAGGATACAACAGTTCTTAAAAACTGAGTAACTATGCACACAATTCAAACATTCGGTCACCTAAGGAGAAAATGCACAGATGTATGGTGGGAAAAACTGTAATTAACACTGAAACTACTACAGGACTCCTTCAGCAAGTCCATCTTTTAGTGATAAAACTACTGTACTGGGCAAACTTGGCAGTCATAAACCCACAGCTATTATGACAAGTCTTGAAGGTGGTGTAACAGTATGAGTAAGAATGCCCTTACACAGCACAGGTTCTAGATATACACAGATTTGTACAGACATCATTTATGTTATACTTTATGGAAATAATTTCCATTTCAACTTCACATTAACTCATATAAAAATAACTTGAGCTACACAAACGTCCTTTTAGCAACATTCAACATAATTAACTGTTAAAATTTCCAAAGTGGCAGAGGTATTGAAGCAAAAAGAAACCCACAAAAAGGCAAAATTGTGACAAGTATGCACTAATTTAAACGGTTCTGGACAGTATCCTCTCCCAATTTAAATGACACTGTATAAAAATGTTGCAGAAAAACATTACAAAACTGAACCCTGCACATTTACACTGGAGTCCAAACCATTCTGGACATGACGAGAACCCACAGTTCTGTTACCTTTCATGCTCACTGTTTTCTCCTCTTGAGGGTCATGATTGGAGTCTGTGTCATTTGAGTGGTGAGTGAGAGAGTTTTCACTGCCAGTGGGAGAGTCTACACTTTCATACCCAGTACTGAGCTGGTTTATGTAGCTACCACCTCCTCTACCAGTTCTATCTTCAGAGTGGTTGGACAGCTTATTACCATTCCCTGGAGAAGCCGGGAAGTCATCCTCCGTGCCGCTACCCTCCCTATAAAAGCCAGGCCCAGACGTCCGCTGATGGGAGGCACTACCATTGCTTGGTCCGTTTGCCAGGCGGCTGCAGTCTTTACCCACAGCCTCTCCCTGGTCTGTAGGCTCAGAAGACGGAGTCCTGCTGGTACCTGGGGTGGAAGCCTGGGACTGCTGCTGCTGGTACTGTGCCAACTGCTGGCGAGTCTCCTTCAACTGCTGCTGCAGAACTAGAATGGTACTCTGCATACCCTCTACCTCCTCATCAAGCTGGATGATGAAGTCATTCAACTCTATATAAAGAAAACACATTTGTTGCAAATACTTAATAGCCTGTACACAGCTTGAATTTCAGACAACAAAATTTAAAATCCTACAACCCAACATTTTATGCTGAAATTTTTCAATAGACTATTTTTCAGCCATCACATATGCACTGGTTTTGATACTCTGCCTCTGAAGGAGGAAATGCTTAACTATCATCTATGTATTTTTTACACTGCTAGTCAGAATATATGAGAAGAAATTAATTTCTGGGCAAGAAAGGAAGATATTTGGAAAATAGCTCAACTCCAACAATTAATATTTTTGCAAGTAGATCCTCATGTATCTACTTGGACTCAAGTATAAAACCTTAGCAGAAATACTGTAGAAGTGACCATGAATCACATCTGCATGTAAGAGATCTAAATAATTACAAAAGCCTATTCAGTGACAAAAGAAAAAAAAAAGTATTTTAGTCACACTTCAATGAAGTTTCAGCTCTTACCATTTTAAATCCTTTAAACCCTGCATAACAGAACACTGTACGAAAGACTTTCTTACCAACAGAACTGTTAACTAATTTCACAGGATGCTTCAGTACTTATGTACCAAGAAAAAGGATTTTACAATTAGGACTGCATTTTGGAGCAAAACAAAACTGACCTGAAAACAGTAAAAGAAATACTGACTCCCTTAAGTCTTCAATTTAACTAACCATTGATATGACAGAGCAAGTAGAACACAAACTGATTATTGTAAAAATTCTTAAAATTAAAGTGTTCTTGAATCTATGGAGAAAAAAATAAGATTTTAAAAAAATCATTGCAGGATTAATATCATGCTTGTTTATATGGGGAAGAAGCAATAGGGGCTAAGAACACATCTCAGTTCTGGAGCTTACTTTACTATGCTGCATTCAAGAACAAATTTTTCTTTAAATGTCCATGCCTGCTTCAATTATGAACTTGATAAATTTAGATTAAGTGCCTTATCTAAATAGCAGTTAAGAAGCAAAAAGATGACTATTCCAACAACATGGAATTACAGAAAGAGTACTTTATCTTAAGAATTCTGGTCAATATTATTTTATGCTGCTACTTTCTCAAAAATACGATCCTATGCTATGTGTGTGGGAAATTTATCCTCAAAAATACAAGATATGTCAGACTTAAGTAATGCCAAATCAAGTCTATGCTACGTTACAAACTTCAGTTGTAAACCAAAAAGACATCCAGGTTTATCTGATATCTAAATAGCTCATGTCCCGGGACTTCCTGTGATGATCAGGTAAACTACTCTAACATTCTACAAAAATAACACCCATTCCATGCAGAACTCTAAACTGAAGACTTTTTAAATCTGCATTTTCCCCTCCATTTAAATTATGCAAGAGGTCAGAGTTTATAGGTTATTTCAATTTAGGTTTACAAGGCTGTAAAATTTGGACTGTGAAAAAAATGGTGAGATATTTTAGTTCATTTGAGTTACTTAACAACAACAAAAATCTATTCGTTGTTCTTAAGCACTGTTAGAAGTTGATTTCTTACAAATTTCAAAATTAGTCAGAGCTAGCAAGAAATATTCTGTGCATGCTTAGCTTCATGCAACATTAACAGCTTTCATCTTACCATTTCACCAATAATGTGTGCAGTCTAAACATTCCCTATTAAATAGCAAGGCCTACAGTACGAAATTTTGACAATTTCCAATTCAACCACTGCAGTACTGGAACTGCAAATCCCACCAGTCCCCCAAACTTAAGGTTGTATATATATTTATATATATTTCTAATTAACTCTACCAGTGAAGACTTAAAATTGTCAAATTTTATTCAATATTGCCCTTTCATTCTGGCAAAGACGGTTTCACAGTATGTGTATCATGAGGAAATTAAACTAGAAGTGCAAGGCAACTTCCATTTTCTTAAAAAAATCCCTTACCATCCTGACTGCTTTTAAGTTCCTCACTATATTTCTTCTGCAAAGCCAACTCTGCCTCAAGCTGTGCAATACGTCCTTGGGACAGCTGCCTTCCAAGCTCTTGATTCTCCTGGATAAGCATTCGACACTTCGCCATTAACTTTTTGCCTGTTTGGCTGCAAAGGAAAGAGCCATCTATCACAAAATGATTATAACATCTTCAGTAATCTTCCTCAATCACAATTACAGACAAAAAGGAGATGCAATTTCTGCATGTTACAATTCAAGGAACATTATGTCTCAACGTAATTGTCATAGCAGAAAGTCTCCCTATAGTTACCACGTGCTGCTCCAATGCCAGGTGATCTTCTGTCGCTGTCCCATAAAGTGGAAGGCAAGTTTTAGTACTGCAAACACGAATAAGCATATTGTTCTTTTTTTGACATCAACATCTGGATTATCAGTACACACAATCTTGCATGTGCTAATCCTCAATGGAGGTAATTATCTGATTAAAGATGTGCCTTGTAATTTAGAAGATCAAGTACTGCATAAAAATTACACACGTAAATTGAATTACATACAAAAACTTTCTTCGTTTATTGCACTAGTAAAATTTAATTATTAAATTTGGGTGAAGATAAGAAAGTAGCATTGGGGAAAATACTCAATCCCATGGTTTTTTTTTTCATATTGACAATTCATTTTTCTTTAAGAGGCTCAGACATTCTTTTGAATGCGGTCCAGGTATTCTTGTTTAAAAAAGCAGGTGTCTATTTTTCAACTCAAATTACATATTTGACAGTAATGTACATAGTCTGTTTCATGATTTCTACGGTCAGCTTTCCCTAAGCATATCTTGCATGGTGAGGAGAAAGTTAAACAAAGTTAAAAATTTGAAGAAATTAAGGAAGGAGTGTATTATTAATCTGCTTCCTTTAGAATGACAGACTTCAGATCATGAGCAATGATCATTAGGATGTCCAGTTTCTGAAAGAAATGGGAAACAGGCATGAAAATAGTATTTTGAACTGACAAGATTTTCTTTACTAAATAGGTAAACATCACACATCTTTAATCTTCATGATAAAAGTTGCATTGTAAAGCATTATAGGAAGTAGTATGCAAATTAATATATAGGCAATACAGCTGACTCCATAAAAGAAAAATTTAAGTCCTTTAAGACTCTTGGTCTGCCAAAGTCAGGATAGCAACCACAAACAGTTCTCCTTTTAACAGACTCAGCGAGCGACATAATGGAGCTGTCCTCTTTTCTACAGAAAAGAGTAACCTCTACCAAGGAAAAAAAAAAATCCACCCAAACTTGGAACAGGTTTATTGCGAATTCAATGGCAGGACTTGCATTTCTCTTCAAGAACAAGAAGGTAATTTAATTTTTTGTTTGTTTGCTTTTAAACAAGACAAAGACTGAAAGAAGTGTTGAGGATTAAAAAAGTAAACCAGGAAATTTCTGCTACAATTCACAGCCACTGTTCTCTCCTGCAACCAAAATACCCAAAAGAATTTAAAATGGTAATTTCCTTATCCACTACCTTTTAAGCATTCAAGCCTTAGACAACTTTTAAGTTCTGTCAACTCTGCCCCATTTAACATTCTCCGACTGACTTTCCCACATCTTTCAGATGGGCTGCTCCAGAAGGAATCTGGCTGTGTAAAGTCCTGGAAGCCTGAAACTCTAAAGGCAGCAACCCGTTTTCTTTCTTGATGTGATGTCCAATGCCAGGTCCTTGAAGTTTAAATTGTGCTGACCTAATACAGTCCAAGTCGCATACTTAGGATGCAAGTTTCCTTAGAGATGTTCATTCTGTGCAAAGCAGGACCACTTTGGAGATAACCAATGTAACATATCCCAAGAGTTATTAGGCAGACATGCAATGATTTTAGCCATTTGCAAATTCCTGTTACTGCATTCATCGTCACTCTAAGTCGAAGAAGTTCACAGTGCTTAAGTCATTTAATGCTTTTTTCTTCACAAAACAATGTCAACTGTAGAATTAGCAAGTACCAGTTACCTTGGAACTGGAACAATTTTAGAAACCCAGTAATTTCTTCATGTTAACTCCTGCCAAAACGTAAAATATTACCTGTATAGAAATTTGCATAGTCACCTATAATGCTATTTCTTCCCATGAAAATTTTTTCCAGATGTTCTGAACTAGTACAGCACCAAGTAACCTCCCCTTGCAATTTACAAAAAAGACAACACATGCAAGAACTTAAAATCCAGTAAGTATTAAAATAACTCTTATTAGCTGTGAAACTAAGTTTGGCATTGTTTTCACAAATCCTCTTGAATTTACATGCAACAAAACCTGTAAGAATACAAGTGGTTAAATTTCAGAAGACTATAGTGTTTGTTGTACCAGGCTTACTGCAAATGACCTTTCTACTACTTTTTAATCCAAGTGTATACTCTATGTTTAATGATGGCTGAAATGGCTCAGCATAGCCAGTCCTCTGATTATGTGCCCTTTTATTTCTCCCTCCAGACATGAGCAATGATTATGCTGTACACTCTTATCCATTGTTAAGGCCCAGAACTAATAGTGCTTAGGGTTGCAGTTAACAGGTTACCCTAAGAACACCAGTTAGGGATCTGAATAGGAGCATCATCTCTTTCAAAAACTAGGTCAGATGGCATGAAATAAGAGTAGCGGTATACAATTATGGACAATTAAAGCAATTAAAGGGGTGGGAGGGAGTGAGGCAGGATGCAAAGAGAATAAAAAAAACACCCTATAAATCTTTTACATGAGTCACCATTTCTTTACCTTTCCAGAAATAAAAATCAGTAAAATCTTAACCCAGTTAATGAAGTCAGCTTCAGTTATTTACCAGGAAATAACTCAAAAATTTTCCATATTCCAGCCATTGCACATATGAATTATGCACATTCACTGACTTAAAATTTTATGATGCATATTAAAGTATATTGTAGCTATAGAAATAACATCATCTTTCGATGCTTTTGCTTGAAAGAAAGTGGTATGCTACTTATCTCTCCTCAGTTGTACAAATGCATTTACAGCCTGAGGACTTAAGAAAACAACCAACCTGTATCTAAATGTATTGAACAATTTTTTGAATGCCAAGTTAAAGAAGCGATCTGCATGGCATACCTCTATCCGCACATCATAGTGAGCTTTACAAATGACTTGGTAACACATTAAAAATTTATTAATGCAAGTCTTACCTCCGTTTGGATGCTAGATCATTAAAATCTTAGATACTGCTATAGCAAAATCATTCCAGATATATCACTTTTAAAAATAAAGTTTTTCTGTAGGTTTTTCTTTTCCTGTTAAGTCATTACTCATGTAAAAAAAAAATAAAGCTGCGTAAGTACACTACTCTTCAATCCCATATTAACCATCTGAAGCACAAACAGTTAAGATACTTCCGAGTTAAAAATACGTATACTTTTTATGTTAATAAAAGTCATCAAAACAGTTTGAATACATCACCTTCTACGACAGCTGGATGTCTTTTTTTTTTTAATTTAAACTCAATTTTCTAGGATCAGGAGTCATAAAATGTTGCCCAACGGTTTTGAAAATCAAACCCTCAGATTACTAAATAGATCTCAAACCGCTAAGTAAAAAAAGAAATACACAAACGCTATACCAAATCTGCATTTCAGTTTATACACCTCAGACATGCCACTCCCAACTGTCCCAGAAGACTACTCTTGCAAGTGACTTGGGACAACAGAACGGAGGCATCAATAGAGTAGCAAAAGCTCCTTCACCAATTCCCACCAAGGAAGATTCATGCATTTGAGGTTTTTTTGGTCTGTTAAAATACTGACTTTGTTTTCAGAGAACGAGACAATGCAGAAATAACAACCTGTTCAATTCTCGTTCATCCCAGGTGTTTCACAATATAACAGTATAACCAGTAGTGTTCCTTGAACTATATATTACAACTATTTCAAGGCACATTTTATATAGAAGTGCAATACAAAAAAAACCCCAGGTGTACAAAGGAATAAAAACACCCCACCAACACTGAAGACAGTTGCCATTGTGTGCCTTCTGTATCAAGCATTTAAGATCAGCTCTTAGTAAGAAGATCAAAAAAAATTCTCATTTCTGCATGAAAACATGCAGTGAAATATTTATCACAACTAGTTTTTCTTATACATGCTAGTTGTGATCAAATATATATTGCTTCCAACAATTTTAAACCTGCAATTAGATAGAATGTACATTTTCGTACAGTCCTAATTTTGAGGCATCCACAGTATTACCAACCATCCAGAAAACAGTTCGTTATTTAGCAACATTGACTTAAGGCTCCATCAAGTGCTAGAGAGCCCAGAGGCTAAACAGTCAAATGTGTACACTACCACTGTTGTGGCATCAAATAGCACTCTTGTGGCTATTCAAAACTGGTTAGCAAGTAAACTCTTTAACGCAAAATTCACCTCATTGAGTTTTGACCCAGCAGTTCAGTGAACAAGCAGGAAGTCCACAGTCTTATTGGCAAAACTGACTTACAGTGTCTATAAGTCACTAGGCTCAAGGTTAAGAGCGAAGCATATTCCACTTCTACGTTTTACGGGAATTTTACATGTTCAATTCATGATTTATAATCTCTAGGTTCTCTCTCCTCCAAACTGTCTGTAGACACAGTGTGCCACAGACTTAAGACTTCTGTTTCTCCCTCTATTTTCTTCAAATAGAACAATTTTGCAAATGTCTACATGTTCTAGAAAAGATTTTTTTTCGAAGATGGCCATTTCTTCAGAATAGTCCGACGCCGTCAGGCCTCTGAAGCAAAGGGGGAGAAAAAGCTGAAACACAAGGTTCATCTGGTAAGTTTTACATTAAGCATTACAAGCTGGACAGTATAAGAATGTGGCTTTTGCCTCAAAACGTCTGAGTCTTGGTGTGGAAACGAGTACTTGGCTGTCCCACCATAGCATTCTCGTAGTGGGACTGTCAGGGAAGTCTTGACTGGGGAGTATTTGTTTTGTTTACCTATCAGGCGTAAATTTCCAGGCACTCAGTTCATTTTGGGCTTGTTCCAGTTTGTCTTTAGTCTGTTCCAGTTCACCTTTCATTTTTAGGAAAAACAAGTTGATGGCTGGGTCCACCATTGTTGATCGTAGTTGGGCAACACTAGGCTGCTGGACTTGCTTGAGGTACTGAATCTGATTCTGCATAAAATAAGACAAAAGACTGTTATTCATGCAACGTTAAGAAAAAACAAACATTTAAGTCATTTAGATACAATTAAAGATAGTTATTCCAAAGATAACATCGAGGAAGCTTGCCTTCTTTCAACACTGTAACCTGAAAAAGGCAGGATAAAAATCACTTCTGCCCATCTGCACCCTATCAATGTGAATATTCACCCAGTTCCCCTTCTACCACCTGCCAAGCCTGAGCTTTCAAGGCTATTTTTTTCTCCCCTCTCTCTGCTTCACACAGTTTTCTACATGTCAGTTTACATTTGCCAAAGCAATGACTGGAGCATTAGAGTGCTCCCTTTTATATCTGCCTGCACTCTTTGGGGAGTGGAGGGAGAAGTATATATGAAGACTTATCTGCTTAAAACAGATCACTAATTTCCACTTAACTTCAGTGAAATTATTGTGGAACATTACAGCTAAAATTGACAAGTAATATTTTTAAGCAAGTACTAAAAAGGTTTTTACAAGCTTCTAAGGTTTTTTTTGCAAATGCAAGTCACTTACGATAGAAGTTTGTATATTAATTTTTAAACAAAATAATTTAAAAATATTAACATCAATTAAAGTTACTTTGGTTTGATTTGATTCTCTTGCAATAACTACAAACAAAAAGACTTCTAATTTTATCATTTATAACCCAGAAGACTTAAAACAGTTAATTTCAAACTGAGTAACTGTAAGAGGATTTATTTTAAATACAGCATTTGTCAAAACTTCTGTGTACTTAAACAGGATTAACTTTTTTGAACGTTTCTTATATTTTTATCCTATCACAACAATCTTAAATGTACTAAACAGTATGTGTTTAGAAACCAGCTAATCAGCCTACACAGAGTGTTCATTGTTAAATTAAATTTATTATGCTCCTTTGTATCACCCAGTTCTTCATCAGCAAGAGGTGAACAAAAATACGTAAGATTAAAAAGAAATATTAATTGAAACTCGAGGGCTTTGCCTCCTGCTGCACACAAAATCTTGCAACCAGATTCATAGCAATGAAGTTTCACTGACGAGCAGTATAAGGCATCACCAGCAAAATGGAGAAAAATCTCCCTCCACACTTTGCTTCTGCTTTGCACCTGGGACAAGCAGCACAGTCACAGGCACTGTCAGTTTCACCATTTTCCCGTAAATATAGTTACTCTGTTATGAGGACTTCATACTTTCTCTTCACCATTACTGGGTAAATACAAACATCCTATTTACCTTAAAAATGTGATTTCAGGTCACTTCTTGACTGAGGACAATGTATGTTTTCATTTATATACTGTTAAGTAGCAACAATTCTTGGATTTATTTCAACTAAGTGATTTCAAAGGTACTGAAATAACGGAATTATTTTCACCTACTCCACATTAGTTTGGTATTATAAACAAAAAATATTTAGCTACTTAAAAAAACCTGAGATAACCATCATACTTTAAGCTTTAAATAGACAAATTTTTTGTGTTCAGAAAGAAATACAAAGGGAATGAAGCACTGCATAAAAATGTTTTAAAGAAATAAAGCACTCAAGAACCCACCTACAAACATTAAAAACAGGAAGTCCAAATGAAGATCATCCTAACATTTCTTGGATGGCATTTACCCCATGGATCTCTTGCCACACTGAATGCACAAAATGTTGCTCACTGAATAAAGATCTATTTTATTAATTTTTATTGATTTTCTTCTTCTATCTACTCAACTTTGACACCTGCACTACTGGAAGCATTTCAACAACCTATCAATTCTTTGTGAGAGCTAGCACTAGTAGAGGGTGAAACAGCTCATTTAACAGATGTCTGTACACATACAGACACTCCAGCTGGCAACATATTCCAGGAACAATTATGCCACAGCAACATGGTTCCAAACCTATTTTTAGGCAGGCATCACTGAGGAAAAAAAAATTAAAAAAAAAAACCATTCCTTTTCTTACCTAAGCCCAGCTCTGTCCCTCTTCTACTGTCAGCCTAAGAACTGAAACAGATTCCTTGAAGCAGTCAAAGAATTGTTGCCACCTGCTCCTCACTCATGCCCGAACAGCACTAAAACACCCAAGAGGACCTGGCTGATTCTGTTCAATGTCATTAAGTTTCATCTGGGTATCTCTAGCTTACGCTCCTAAGCCAAGCAGAAAGCACTTGCAGTCCCCATATAACAGTACTGTAGAAAGAATTTACTCAAGCTGAGCAACTCTTGCTCATTCCCTCCCCAAAGAAAGAAAATTTACTCCTCCAGTTCTTCCAGTTCAAATTTTCTCCATCCCTTCACAAGTGCTTTCTCCAGTTTTAACTCCAGAGTTCTCACCTGTCAGGCTTTTCATTCACCCAGACCTACCAGCCTCCTCCCAGTAAGACAAACTCTCAAAGCAAGCCCATACCTCTTAACCCTTCTGCCTACTTTCTTATTCCATTCATCTTCCTGCTTAGCCAGTCCAAGCCTCTCATTCAATTTAAATTTGAATGTGACCTGAATGTGGTAAGTTTCTAAGTAAAAAACATGTACTGAAAATACATTAAAAGTAATATGAACAATAAGTATTATATAGTAAATATTCATCTGTAGCTTTCAAGAAATTTGACGCCATAGATGCTCAGCCTTTCTAATTAAGATGTGACAGGAACCATTAAAAGCTTACATATAAATAACTGTCATTGGTATATTTTAGATATAAGTATGGATTATAAAAATATTAACAATGCTAAAATAAAGTTATTTTATGGACTAAAAATTAGATGTCTCAATTATATGGTGAAGTTTTTGTTCATTTATGGAATTATTTAGCAATCTACAGCTTAGCTTTGCATCTCACCCAACATGATTTAATTTTGCTACTGTTACTGGAAAAAATACAATTTTCCTCCTTCAGAGCTTCTGGAAACTATGTGCATTTAAACTCGAAAACACTTGAAGGTGCCAGTGTCTCCATGACAGCTTTTACTCCCCTTCTTCAAGGATGCATTTTCCTACCTCCACGTACTATGGAGGAGATTACATCCTTGATGTTATTCATGTGCCAATACCTGGAAAAATACAAGCCACTTGAGGGTGTGTGTTTTTGTTTCTTTTTGGTGGGTTGTTACCCTCCCATTATATATTTTTTTAAGTACACAGAAATTAACAAAAACTCCTCAGTTCTTCTAAACAGATGTTCTGCAAAGCTGATGCATCATAACTATATAAACATCCGTAATAAGATGCAACCAAAAATCCTATAGTCTTCATGATATCATCCAAATTCATAGTCTTAAATACTTGAAATTTTTGTTTAACTCATTCTTTTAGAAATAGGGAGGAAGAAAGGTAGAAATAGTATAAAATTTTATTACAGCGAAAAATTTTTTCATCTGGAGTACTGGGTCCAGTTCTGGGCGCTCCAGTACAAGAGAGACGTGGACTTATTAGGGTAAGGCCAACACAGACCATGGAGATCATTAAGGGTTTGGAGCATCTAACATACAAGCAGAGGTAGAGAGCACTAGGGCTGTTCAGGCTGGAGAAGAGAAGGCTCAGGGGGATCTTATCAATGTGCATAAATACCTGATGGGGAGAGTAAAGGCAGCAGAGCCAAGCTCTTCTCAGTGGTGCACTCTGAAGACAATGGGCACAAATTGAAACAGGAAACTCCACTTAATCGTAAGTTAATGCTTTTTGCTGTGAAGGTGGCTGAACACTGGCACAGGCCACCCAGAGAGGTTTTGGAGTCTCCATTCTAGGAGATGCTCAAAACCCAACCATGCAGAGTCCTTCGTAACCTGGTCCAACTGACCCTGCTCCGAGCAGGTGGGCTGGATTATAAAAACTGCAAGTCCCTTCCAACCTCAGTGATTCTGTGATTCGTTTTTTGTTGCTGCAAGTAAGCTTTACCCGCTCTTTTTTTCCTCTTCATACCAGTGCTTACTATGAACTAAAGTTAAAGTCATCTTACCATCTTGAGAACAGTGAAGATAATGTTAAGTGTCACACTACTATACCTGAAAGCTCTGAAAACATACAGGAAAAAAGAAAGACTAAAAGAAAACAACAGAAGAAAGAATACTAGTTACTAGTTTTGCACAGAGCTTGTGTTTTCCATAAGAAAAACACTCAGGAGTATATCACAGAAACTAGCAACAAGCAGCTTTTTATAGTCTCTCAGGAACTGCCAAATTAAAGCAGCAGGTAAAAGTTACGTTAAGGTAATCCAAAGCATAGAAGACAGAAGATAGTTTCAAGAAACCAAAACTAATTACAGAAGAAAAAGTCACAAAAAAGCCACAAATAAAGAAAGAGAAGTAGAAATAACAAAGCATTCAGCACAAAGAACATCAGCAATCCTGAGCAGCAGAACTGCCAACTTCAAAAGAACTTCCTCTGAAAAAGTCAGTAACTCTTTCCCCTACCTAGCCAAACAGATGTAGAAGCTTACAAATACCTTGTTATCCAAATCCAACGCACATATCGGCCTAAAACCTCCTAAATGAAACCTTAAACTCTACCTTATCCTTAAATTTCAATTTGTTTCCACATCTAATGTCAGAAGTAACACTGTTAGTAAATATTCAGCTGACAAATGCTAGAAGTAAGCAAGCATGGCTCATGCAAGAAATTAGCGTGGTTCTGAAGCAGAATTTCTTTCAAGCACAACTGCTGCTGAAAAACAACTGAAATAACTAGTATTAAAAAAAGCAAACTTTAGGAAGTGATCTTTACTATAATTCAGTGAAAGTTTAAAGTGCTCTGCCTTTTCTTTAAGCACAGAAAGCATGATGCTATAGATACATCAAAAACACAGCACATGGATACTGGCTCAGCTCAAAAGCTGATATTCCTGTAACAGTCTGAAAACACTTATCTTCTCTAAGTACTTACAGTACACTCTTGCATCTCCTGTTCCTTAGTTGCCAGCCTCATCACCAGAATATTTTCTCTTCGGGCAGACTCTTGCTGTTGCTGTTTCAGTTTCTCTTCAGATTCTCTCAATCCCGTCACATCATTAGCTAATACAAGAAATAACACACAAAAAGCACTTTTTATAGCATCCTCTCATGAACAGTTTTTAAAGACAGCTACAAGAATCTAAAAACCAAATCCATAAACAGCAGAAGTGTCATAAATACGCATGACTATAATAATCATAACTATAAAAAGCATAAATAAGAGAAAACAAAATATCATTAAGTATTAGAAAAAATTGACAACGGTTGGTTTTAAGGAAGGATCAGAAAGATGTATTTAAGGCTTACTAAACTTTTAAAAAGGTTTCCGTATTTATATAGAAAATAACTTAAATGGCTTACTCAATCATCTACTATTACTACTTGCAACCTGAAACTCAAGAAGTTGGAGCTGTCCTGCTATCTCTAAGAAATGTTGAGGCCAAGATGGGAAAGGCTGGGGGGAAGTCTATACTCTGGCAAAAAGCAATCCAGTTTGTAAAACTGCCTGTGCTATTTGTGGTCAACCCTCAAACTGGTCTCAGCACTCTGAGTAAACAGTAAGACAGAGAATTTCAGAAATGGCAGTTCAGTCACAACTAGAATTCTTCTGATCCATGAACATTTAGGAAAGTTTATATATTAAATATGAGAGAAGGCAGCACAGCACATTTCCAAGTTACTCAAATAGGAACATGCGGACACGGCCTGATACAAACCATATGCATTCAACTCTGTTATTTCTCACATATAAAATGATGGAAAGTTGAAATACTTAAGATTTTTTTTTCCTAATTCCTCCAGAATGATAGGCTGTAAATATAAACTAATAACATCACAAATTGCTTTAGGATAATTATTTCTAAATAACTCTTTGGAGAGAATTCAATAATACTGATCATTGCAAACTGTATTAGAATTTCCAAAATTGAAAAAACTGGGAATGTTAAAATAAATAAGTTATCTGTGTTAGGACAGTTTCAGATTAGAATGAAATCAACTGCTTACATCTGCTATATTTTAGTCTCCCCAAAAGTCAAACACTACAGGGTGACAGCTGAAGAGGGATATTACAACAGAGAAAAGAAAGAACACCCATTCATACTGACAGAAAAAAAATCCTTCCAAGCCAGCAGTACTTTCAGCATTTAGACTGAAAGGTGAGCAGAAGACTGGAAAGAGCCCATCTCTAGCTGCCAACACAATTTTTAAAAGTGAGTTAGGATTGGCGATTTAGTCACTTCCAGAATGTATCCACCTTTTCCCATTTGAGAGCAGGATGGTTTCCCCATATTGTCGTCTGAAAGGCTGAAGTACAGACCAAGTTTTAAAGATCACATAAGACTAACAATCAAATAGTTTATTTGCCTAATGCAGTAAAACATTACTTGGCGACTCATTTTAGACCTTTAACTCTGCAAACTATTCCTCCTCCCATGTGGCTTACAATCCTGTGAGACTACTGAAGGCACAAACATTGAGTATTTTGTAAATGATAATGCTTCCTTTCTAATGGAAAAGTCCTGAAAATACTCCTATTTGTGGGGTTATTATTTTGAGACATTTTTTTTCCCTAGCAGTCTGAGTACAAATGGTCCTACAAATGCAAAAACTGACTTTTTAAGATGCTGTGCAAGATCTGCAAAGAAAAATAAGTGGCTGAGAAAGTTGGGAATAGCTGAAAACTTATACTAGTAAAAACAGACTTTTTTCTGACAACTAACATACAGATTATTATCTCTTACTTCTAACAGTTTCAGAAAGCACAGACATTACTTGAACACTCTGCTTTATAAAAACATTCAGGTGACTCGTACCATTTTGAAACTTGGTGAACTTACAATTAAGGTCTGTGTACTTGCCCTCCAGAGCTTGCACATACGCTTCATACTGTTTCCACCTATTGCAGAGACAGAAAAAAATTTTTTGAAGCTCGGTTTATGAAATCGAGACATCTCATTCCTAATCTTTCAGAGTATACTTTCATACAATAATCAGAAAATGTCAAGAGGAAATTATAAAACTGCATAACAGACAATTCTAGTTTTAAAAAAGTTTTTAAAAACATGGAAACAGTTACATCCAATTTGCATCTCAAAAGGATAAAGAGGCAGCTGTATGTTATAATACCTAAAATTGACATTTTAAAACTTACTGTAGTATTTTGAACAAACATAGGGATCAAACACTTATTAGTTATCTGTGAAAAGTACCTAAGATACATCTCAAAGCAGAACAATTCAAATAAAATTCTGTAACAGAAACCATAATACAAAGACAGTATTAAGTCTGTTACCAAGCAAACAACAAGGCAAGCAGAAGTGTATTACAGTACACTAGGACTAGCAGTCTAGGTTAAGTAATTATACCAGCTCATTCAAATCAAGACCATACTCTGATTATATTCATCAGCCAGAAGCCGAACAGTTTAATAGCTCATTGAAGGCATGTTATTTAAGTGATTTATCCACAGTTGGAAAACCTCACACTTGTAAACAACGTTGCATTTGATACAAATCATCAAATCAGTAGTAAATAAAGTCTGCAGTAAAGCTCAGCATGACATACCTTACCAACAAAGCTTCTGTACCAACACAATGGTGTCCGGGGGAGTGTGTATGCATGTTTGGTTTTAAAGTACTTTGCTCCTAACTATGTGTCTTCCTCATAATGGAAAAATTACATAATATGAAACAAATTCTTTTAATAGCTTACCATTACAGAAGGGGAAGCCTTCTGTTCCCTCCTCCCAACTAACCTTTTTCTCCGACACCTATTTGATGCCGGACTCATCACAACTGCTCTATTTTAACTTCATAACCTACAACACCATCATCTCAATCAAAACTATAAAACATAATTCTACAGAACTTTTTATCATTTAGTGAATTCAAATAGCTTATTAAAAGGTCTAAAAAGCATCAGATCTGCAGTATCAAGTGAGATCGCATCACTGGGAAAAGCAAAAGTAAACACAAGACTTCTTCCTTTTAGAAGCAACAAAATTTTGCATCTCTTCAGCTGAACATGAAATCAGCGTGAATTAACTCTCAAGCTCTGTAAAAAAGAGCAGCTGTATTCCCACTTAACCCTCTGCTCTAAACAGAACACCGTTAGAAGGAAAAGTTTCACCCTCTGACCACTGAAAGTTCTATGCTAGTTCAAATTTCAATCCCCCAAAAGTAAAATCGAAACAGTCTACTATATATCAAAACCAGAATGAACCTAATTTTACTTCATTTAATTATTTCATGTAAGAGTTGGTCTTCAAATACAGCTGCAAAATTATTTGAATTCTAAGTTACATTTGGAGCCTGAAAACAACAGTTCTGACAAAATCATCACATACGTGATGTCAAAATCATCACACACGCATCATGGTGTGCCCTGTAACAGGAATTATACAAAGAGCAAGTGTAATGAAAACTTAAAACACAAGTTAACTAGACATGGCAAACCACTACCAAAAAAAAACCAACAACAAAATCTGACACAAACCACACAGCCCGTGATCACCAAGAACATCAGAGAGAAAACCTCTAAGTCACCTCTCAACAGCTGCTAGTATGCAAGCAAGAAATGAATTTCTAACGAAGAAAATCTTGAGTCTGCTAGGTCATGTCATGGATTTTTCAAGTCACATGCCTGCCAGCTTTTCTAGAAGCACGACTCTTCAGGCACGTTTTGTCAAAAACCTGGTGAAGACTGTTGCAGCTTCATTTCAAGCCAGTCTACAAAACTGTACAGAATAAACTTGTGGTCACCACAATGACATATTCAAAAAGAAATCTTAACCAATCAAGCTATCAGTTTTAAAACTTGAACTTTTTTCTACTACAGTAACTTTACTTTCACACATATGCATTGTTCTCAATTTTGCTACAACTTCAGAAGATCTCAAAATAAATTTTTAACTCTAGCAATTGAGCTGGTTTTCACCTCACTTCAGGCAAACCAGAAAGTTACCATCTACAGAGACAAAAATTAGAAGCAGTCTTATTTAATGCAATCAGATTAAAAAAACAAAAAAACAAATAGACTAAAGGCATTAAAACAAAAAGTGATGTAATAAAAGTTTAAAAACATTCACATTGATGAAGGAGACCATTCTTATCAATAACTTCAGCTCAGGAAAATAAGCAAATATATTGGTAGGCCCTTACTGAAAGGGGACCAATTCCTTCTAATCAGACTTGTGGTTGTAACTCCTCATCTCATGTGTACGTACTTTTGTAGTGATCTCTACATGTTATAAAGCAAAAGACTGTTTCCTCCTGTTCACATTTAGTTAACAGAACTTGAAATGAGCAAGGCTAAACCACATACTTCATGGAAAAGTGAAATTGGGATTCATGGGACAGGAACTGACAGAAGAATTAGTATTTTCTGCATTTTGTATTTTGTATTAATTGCACAGCAATGATGATGTATTTCCTAAAAGACCAAAAGCAGATGACATGCCCACATCTTAAAAACCATTTGCCTCAACAAAGCATGGATAAAAAAACATGCATTCCATATAATAAGACATGCTTTTCTATGTCTGAAAGTAGTACAGATGCCTTTGATTAAAATATGATATGCAAATAATAGTGTTGTACTTTATTCCAACCTACAAAAAAAAGCCAGCAGTTAGTGTAGCAGCTGCTACTTTTATGTGAAACCACAGTTAAAGGTGAACTTATTATAAATCCATTAAACATACACCCCATTCCAAGAAAAAACAAGTGTTTGTAGGACTGCTTAGTGCAAACACATAAAATGGACATGGTCAAAACAGCAATTACGTTTCCACTTCTGGGTATAACAGACAAGTAATCTCCTTAAATCAATCAAGTGGCCTTTTTGAGAGCACAAGTTGCTTTGTCTACACCAAGAAGATTTGCAAGCAACACAGCTGTCATTAGCAAATTCCTTCCTGTCTCTTCATTAACAGTTTAGCTGCTGACAGTACTTCACCTCCTTGGGTGTATTCCACAACACTCTCACTTGAATATAGGCTGGAAATGGATCTCTTCTATGACAGCAATTAAACATTGCAAGTTACAGAAACTGACTACAGTTACACGTCTTTTTTGTCATTGTTCTTTTCACACTATCAATCAGAAAGCAAGTGGCAGAGAATCTATGCTTTGATACTTTGGCAGAAATTTTATAGCTGGAAGCAAGTTCACTATTCCTAGGGATAATATTGAGTACAGAAACTTTTATAAAAAGGTTCACAAGGCCTAAACCACTTCACATCAAAGCAGCATTTTTTCCCTACTGTTTAAATACATCATCCTAGATAACCAATATCCTATCCTTAAACATATAGAGCCAGATTATGTTGAGTCCCCTGGAAAGAATAGTCATGCCAGAAGTAGCTGGCAGGACAGTTTGCCCAGGAGTAGCTGATCACATATACTAAGTGTTGCGCTTGCAGCCTCATGTATCTACACAGTTCAGTCTCTGTTCTATGAAATAGCAGTATTTAACTTAAGAGACCCTAACAATGTTATTACAGTGTACAAAAACACAAGAGCTTAAGTTTACCAAAACACACACAAACTACTCCAGCAGATACACAGATGACCCACAGATGCCTAGTTTAGTTAGCTCCTTGTTTACAAGTCAAGAAATTCAGGTGCACAGAGACAAGTGGCATGAGTCAGTTTCTTTAAGCAGGTGGTCTGTGTGACAGGATTACCTACTGTTTTTTCCATGGTGACACCTGACTTTCTAAAAGGAGAAAAAGATGGCCAGGCTCCTCTTTATGCAAGTTCCAGGCGATGAAAAACTCATTTTAACATTTTACTCTTGGTATCTAAACATGCTAAGACAACTGTATGGACTAAGAAAACCTAGAACTTACTGCAGGAGTAAGGAGTTGACATTTTTCTGATGTCTAACTTGCTATCTAGCAAGGAATGTAAGCAACTGTATCTCCCAAAATTACAAGTGAAGGAAAAAACTACAAAATATTTTCAGGATTTGTCTCTCCCTCAAACTATATTTAAAAATATTTGAGACAAGTGAGAACTTCACAAAAGATATATATCATAAAAAGGATAGTTTTACAGAACTAGGATGTTAAAAAAAAGCAAAAAAGGGATGTCACACATCTTCCATTAAAAGGTCTATAAAATTTTGAGAATGAAAAACTGCTTTTTACTTTACCTTAGGATAAGCTCGTCTCTGGGTAAAACCTTAAAATCTGCTTCACTAAGGCGAACCTATGGAGCGAAAGGAAAAGCACAACTTATCAAGCTATCATGATTACCTGGTGTGGTGGGGGAAGTCACAAGTATTTTTAAACATACCTTCTTTGGGAGAGGTTCTTCATTCGTCATTGTGAACTCTGAAAGGGGAGGGGGAAAAAAGGAGCTTTATTTAGTATAGTTATTAGTGTACAGAAAATACTGAACAAGTCAGAAACTTGTACTTCCAGGCTTTTTTTTTTGTAACTTGTAGTATTAAACTACTGAAATACTGTTTCACACAATGCAGCATCAAAGTACAAAACGACACTACGACAAGTTTGCTGCTGTAATCTAGATACAAAGTCAACAGACGCATTTTTTTTTTAAAGTTAACCAAAAGTCTCTTTAGATGTCTATAAAAAGTCCATCAGCAATCAATTCTTCCTATGTAACCAAGCAGAGCCACCCAACTTAGTCTGTATTTGTTTAGCTCAATCTCACATTTCAGATGCACCTACGTTACAAGGGGCCTCAAACAAGAAAACCTGTTATAAGGGGTGTCAAACAACAATGCACTCAAGGACATGGTTTCTGTAACTGTGACTGAAACATCACAACCTAGTACACCGATATATCCCAGTATATTCTGAAGGACTATAGATAAACCAGTAGAACACCAGCTGAGACCAAGATAAGGAACCTGAGGAATCCACAAATAAAAGTTATGAGCCTAGGAAAGACCATATATGGAAGAAAGACTCAGACTTCATGAAAATGACATTTAAGAGGTGCCTCTTCAGAACCACAAGGGACCACCAGAGACTACCAAAGACCTCTTGTACACAAGTGCAGTTTGAGCAGAGAATGATTCAGCAGATATTTAAATGTATTATATTTAAATTGCTACCAATCATTATAACATTCCGATTACGTAATCCTGAAACATTTGTGTATAAATATATAAAAAAATGTGGCATTAGGGGTGCATGGTTTTGGATGGAATAATCCCCTTCACACCCAATACTGAATAAAGAATGCCTGCTTCTTAACATTACACTGGTGTCAAGAGGGGTTTTTAGTCCTAATTTCAGTGACATTTGGAATAAAAGTAAAGAACTTGTAAACACTACCACTAATGTTTGTCTTATGTCAGAATAACATGTTCTTTCAAGTACTTATTCTCTTACTTTTAAGATTCTGATAAGCAATAAGTATTAAGCAGTTGTTTTATAACCCTTGTGAATATTTTCAGGAAAAGTAAGATGTCAAATAAATGGCTTGGATACACCACCAAATTTAATTCCTCTTGCGTGTATGTACCATAACAGGATTGCTTTGTGCTAGCTTAGATATGCACAGTTCCTTGAGTTACTGGACATGCTTCCCTACCTCAAAAGAATGATACGTAATATTTTCTACAACTACATTTAAAAAAACCAGTCTGCAAAGACTATAAGCTTACATGTATCAAAGAATGCAAGGTCTCCTAGAGGCACGCATCCTTCCAATATGCTTTCCAACAGAAAAGTTGCATATAATCTTAAGATCTGACAAGCTCATAAAGCTGCTGTGATGCACATATACCAGGAAAAGGATGTGTCAGCTTGTTGGTTGTGAACACTAAGCTTCACAAAAACAATGCTCCCAAGTAGTTAAGAAAATATTTTATCTTCTCAAAAGGACCTTTACAGACTACTTTAAGTGTTTTCAGAAACACCCCCATGAACTAATTTAACTTTTCCAGATCCTAACACAAGCAAATCCTACAACTGTTTGTCAATAAGACAAATACAAGACAAGTGAAACAGAGCCTCTATAACCTACACTAACAATTGACAAATACACAGCACTCTACCAAAGGAGGCCCTGGTTAAAAAACAAACAGAACACCAAAAACCCCACACATATCAAACACAGCACACAGATGAAACAACTTCCAAGCCTTTCACAAAAGAAAAGCTGACATTAGAACTCAGGGAAAGGTTTCCAAAAACATTCAGTAGAGGCATCTCACTGATGAGTGGCCTGTTCCTATCTTAGTAACATACAGGCACTTGAGTGCTTCCATAGCCTAATAAGTCCCCCCATTTCCACCACCTTCCCTCTCACACACAGGAAGTTACTTGAGCATTTTGCTTTAACTTCTGGATGCAGGTCCTTATTCCAGACTGTTTTACTAAAAACATACCTTACATATACTGAAGCATAAGCGGCTAACGATACTAACTGCTGGTGCCCAACTCAGTCATCCAGAAGAGCACAGAATAACCTGAGATCACAGGGGGAATGCTTGTGACCCCTGTATTTAGGTTCCCTACCTGTGTCACTGTAATTTTCCAAAATATTTTTAGAATATTTTATCTCCTTCAACGTTTGGAAGTAGTCTTGAAGATATCAGCAAGATTTAAGTCCTTGAGAGAAACACACTTTCCAGATGTCCCACAGAACTACAGCTAATGCTGACTGAACTGTGCACAGATGATGTCAGGTCATTATTTGTTGTCCCTCAGAAAAGTACCAGAAGCATACAAATAGCAAAAAAGGTGAACTTCCCAAAGACCTGGCGTGTGAACCCTGCAGCAGCATACAACCATTAGAAACACCTGACTGTTGCCTCAATTATGACTGAAAGAATTCAAAGGCTGGCTGATGCTCCACCTAAGATTAGTGTACCTCTATATCTCCAAACCTTGAGCAAGGTACCAGCACCTGGTTCTCTACAGCAGCACCAGACCTGGCTACTCTAACCTTCATGTCCAGCACGCCACAGACATCGCTTGCTTTCAGACAAGAGCAGGAAAGTGCTGAAAACCAAAGTTACATGCCACTGCATTACAGAAGTTACTGTCACCTATCATCACTTGTAGTGACAGAACCATACACTCAAAAAACCACACTGGCTAAAAATAAAAATATTCTGCAGGTTATTTTGGAAAAGCTAGGTTGATCACATCAACAGATAAGCACTAGTACTCTTTCTGCATCTGTGAATTTCACCTTACAGCTCCCATGCAACAGCTTTTTTGGCACCTACAGTAACTCACCAAAAGCTCAGAAATTTACTACTCATATATATAACTACCATTTTGCTCAATGTTTTTCAGAAGCATTAAGAGCATCACACTGACTACATCAGCGCGTATGCAGTTGTCACAGCAATGTGCCTTAGCTTTCTGTTCATTAACAGATACATTTGTATGTTGCAGATAGTAACACTACAACTGAAATGTTCAGTCTTCGAATACAGTAATTTTTTAAGCACTGTGCATCAAGAGGTGCTTCTCATGACTTTGATCTCTAAAAAAGATCATCTCTCTCCTACACAAATCAGAATATTTTGCAAGAGCATGATGAAGTGCTGTTTTCTACAATAAAAAGAACAGACAAAAACAACATTATTGTATAACTGACTCGAATAAACACAATTATATTTTGTGATTTATATGATAAACAGCTTAACTGTATTTCCAAACTAAGCACTGTCATGATTTTGGGGAAATGATGGCTGCTACATGCCATTCCTTCTGCATATCTGCTCCTGGCAACGAGCAATAAAAAAAACGATATTTCGTACTTAAAATAACATTGCCACAAGCACTGAAGGAATTTTTATGTAACTTCATTAAGCTTTAGGCTTTTACAGCAACTTAAACATGAAGAAAACTGAAATCGGAAAAGTGCATTCTAATTTTGGTAACTTCTGTAGTCTGTACACCCTTTACTACTATATTTAGAAAGCATAGGATTTAAGGATTATAAGAATGTAAGAAACAAAGTAACTAAATAATATCAGGTATGCTGCTTTACTAGCTACACCTGAAGTAACTGCCACATATTAGCGCTATAGAAGAAAAAAAAAAGTTCCGTGGGGAAAACTCCGGCACGGACTCCAAACTCCCAAAAATACGACAAAAAAAAGCTTCAAAATAACAGTCTGACTGGGCAGACTTCACATTCGCCTCAGCAACCGCGCTCTGTAGCCGGGTCCCGCCGCGCAGCCCCGCCTCCTGCGCGGAGACCCCGCCGGCTGCGGGCCAGGCGCAGCTGCAGGCCGCAGACCAGCCGGCTCGCCG